TTGTGGCGTTCCTTGCGATACTTTAGCTCCTTCAGCAACTTTTTTCATGCAAGCATTCATACAATCTCATTGCGGAACCCAACGGGTGTGTTCTCTTTGCACAACACACTGCATGAGTACACATGAATAATCTGACAAGTATTACGAAAATGAATTGCTGAGCTGGTTTGGTGTACAGACATGCTTTTATCATCATGGTAAAATATGGCAGTTGCTGCCATGGCCGGGAATGATCGCAGTTGCAAGGGCGAAGGCTGTGGGGATGCGAGGATTTACCGCCAAGGAAGGCCAATGGATGACAAGCAAGATTGGAAAGTAAATAAGGCAAATAATCTCTGACAGAAGGGTATACGCCAGTCTGTTCAGATATGGATGATGCTGAACGGAACACTTCATGTAAATTCTCCATTTTCCCTATAAAACAAAATAGATTCTACACTTGCTTCATTGAATAATAAAAATGAGACTTTTGGAGAGCATTAATAACAAACATGCACATACAGTCGCATGTACTACAGTCATACGCACCTCTACCCTTCCTCCTTGAGGTCGACCTTGAGCGCCAGTTGTTCCCTGAGAAGCACGTCCGGGTAGTGCGTTTTGGCGAAAGTCCTCTCGAGCTCCTCAAATGAACCCGTGAAGATGGTCTGGTGGCGGCGTTCCGCTTGCCGCGCGCCCGAGCCCGAACAGCGAGGCGGAGTACAGCCCGTGGTACTGGCCGGGTCTGGCGGCGGAGGGAGGCGGTCAGGAACCGGAGAGGCCTCTAGGGAGGGGGGGGGGAGAAAAGAGGGAGGACGAGAGAGAGAAAGAGATAGGGAAGGGAGAAGAGAGAGGGAGAACGAGAGAGAGAGACGGAGAGAGAGAGAGAGAGAGAGAGAGAGAGAGAGAGAGAGAGAGAGAGAGAGAGAGAGAGGAGAGAGAGAGAGAGAGAGAGAGAGAGGAGGAGGAGAGAGAGGAAGAAGCAAAGAGAGAGAGGAGAGAGAGAGGAGAGAGAGAGAGAGGAGGAGAGAGGAGAGAGAGAGAGAGAGAGCGAGAGAGAGAGAAGAGAGAGAGAGAGAGAGAGAGAGAGGAGAGGAGAGAGGGAGAGAGAGGAGGAGAGAGGAGAGAGAGAGCAGACGAGAGAGAAGAGAAAGAGCGAGGAAACGAAGAGAGAGGAAGAGAGAGGAGAGAAGGGAGAGAGAGAGAGAGAGAGAGAGAGAGAGAGAAGGAAGAGAGAGAGAGGAGAGGAGCGAAGAGAGGAGAGAGAGGCGAGAGAGGAGATGAGAGATGGGAGAGGGGAGGGAGAGAAGAGAAGAGGAGAAGGAGGAGAGAGAGAGATGAGGCGAGAGGAGTGAGAGAGAAGAGAGAAGAGTGAGAGAGAGAGAGAGAGAGAGAGAGAGAGAGGAGAGAGAGAGAGAGGGAGATGAGAGGGGAAGAGAGAGAGGGGAGGAGGAGAGAGGAAGAGAGAGAGGAGAGAGGAGATAGAGGTAGAGAGAGAGAGGAGAGAGAAGAGAGGAGAGAGAGCAGCGAGAGAGAGAGAGGAAGGGAGAGAGAGTGAGAGGAGAGAGAGAGGAGGGAGGGAGAGAGAGGACGAGAGAGAGAGAGAGAGAGAGAGAAGAAGAGAAGAGAGAGAGAGAGAGACAGAGAGAGAGAGAGAGAGGAGAGAGAGAGGAGAGGGAGAGGAGAGAGAGGAGAGAGAAGAGAGAGGGAGGAGGAGAGAGAGAGAGAGAGAGAGAGGAGAGGAGAGATGGAAGGAAGAGAGAAGAGGGGAGGAGAGNCTGACAGTCTTGATTCTCTGTGTCTCTTTCCTCATCCACGTCAGAGATCGAGTCTCGTTCTCGATCGGAGTCGTACTACGAGAGGAAAGAGAGTCGCCGTCTCTCGAGAGACAAGACAGGTAGAGAGAGTCGAGAAGACTCGCTCATACCAAGAGAGAGAGAGAGAGAGTCACGTGCAGATGCACTACGAGAGTCGAGTAGAGAAGTGACGCAGTACTCACTGTCACGAGAGAGAGAAGAGAGAGAGGAGACAGCCTCAGAGCATCGAGGCTGTCAGAGGGATGCTCAGAGGGAGACGATGCATGACGAGGAGAACTGGAAAGAGAGAGAGAGAGGAGAGAGAGAGGAGAGGAGAGAGAGAGAGAGAGAGAGAGAGAGAGAGAGAGAGAGAGAGAGAGAGAGAGAGAGAGAGAGAGAGAGGAGAGAGAGAGAGAGAGAAGAGAGAAGAGAGAGAGAGAGAGAGAGAGAGAGAGAGAGAGAGAGAGAGAGAGAGAGAGAGAGAGAGAGAGAGAGAGAGAGAGAGAGAGAGAGGAGAGAGGAGAGAGAGAGAGAGAGAGAGAGAGAGAGAGAGAGAGAGAGAGAGAGAGAGAGAGAGAGAGAGAGAGAGAGAGAGAGAGAGAGAGAGAGAGAGAACCGACCTCCTGATGAATGTGGGGCAACAGAGAGAGGTGTCCCCGGGGGCGCCTGGGAGGCTTGCCGTGACAGCGCACTGGCAGCTCACGAGCCTCAACCATATATTGCAT